AGAGGATTTGGGTGGTAAGTAAGGTTCTGGTGAAATTTGGAGAACTTTTCTGGGATAAGGTCTAGGACAAATGGGATGTTAAGGTCATGATGTAGGGTTTTGTTGGATACATAGAAAGGAGCATCGACTATTGTTCGAAGGACTTTAGACTGGAAGGATTGGATGCGCTTGATGTTAGAAAATTTTGCTGATCCCCACAGTTCTAGTCCGTAAGTCCAAATAGGTTTCAGTATTGTCTTGTAGATCAGTAGCTTGTTTTCAATGGAAAGTTTAGATTTTCTGCTTAGTAGTCGGTATAGTTGGCCGTATCGTCGGTTGAGTTCTTGTCTTTTGAGTCTAGTATGCGGGTTCCAAGTTAGTCTTCGGTCTAAATGAAAGCCAAGATACCGGACTGTGTCTGAATAAGGAAGCTGGATGGAATTAAAGAGTACTGGTGGACAGGAATTGCGTCGGAGTGTAAAAGTAATGTGTTGGCATTTAGATTCATTAACTTTAATGCGCCAGTTATTACACCAGTGCTCAATCAAGGTGAGATGACTTTGGAGATTTAAGGATGCTATTTCGGGATCAGAGTTGGATGATAAGATTGCGGTGTCGTCAGCGAATGTTGCAAGAAAAGTATCGGGATGAACAGGGATGTCAGCAGTAAAGAGGATGTAAAGCACGGGACCCAAGACGCTGCCTTGGGGAACACCGGCTTTAACGGAGTAGATATTGGAAAATTCTGTTCCACAGCGAACTCGAAAGGAGCGGTCAGAGAGGTAGGATCGGAGGACTAGGTACAAGGACTGAGGTAAATGGATTTTAAGCTTGGAGAGCAGTCCGGAGTGCCATACCCGGTCAAATGCCTGTGCAATGTCCAGAAAGGCACCCGAACAGTATTCCTTGTTTTCTAGGGCTGAGGAAATATGATCAACAACTCGGAGTCCTTGTTGAACAGTAGAATGTTGAGAGCGAAAACCAAACTGATGGGAAGGGATATTTTGGGATTCTATAATGGGTAGGATTCGTTTCAAAAGGATCTTTTCAAAAATTTTTGAAAGGATTGGGAGTAGGCTGATTGGTCTATAGGATGTTGAGCTATTGAGAGGTTTTCCTGGTTTTGGGAAAAGGATAATAGTGGAGTGTTTCCATAACAGAGGGAAGTGGGTGGTGCGTAGGATACAATTGTAGATATATGTAAGGAATATGACTGCTTTGGATGGAAGTTGTCGAAGGATTTGAGGTGTAAGGAGATCATGTCCAGGAGCTTTACGGAGGATTAGTTTTTTTAATTGAAATTTTACTTCGGAAGGATGAATAGCTTTTGGGGGCAAGGAAAGTGGGATTGGTGATGTAAGGAGTTCTTCTACTGTTACGGTGTGGGCAGGATGGGATTCCGGATGTGAAATAAATGTATTGGATAGGTGAATGGCGAACTCCTCAGCTTTATCTTCGTCAGATGCTGCCCAGGAGCCATCACCTCGTCGGAGAGGATGGGAAATGCGGTGAGGATTTAGGATTTTTGTTGTGGTTTTCCAAAGGGAATTGTCGCGAGAAGAGAGGGAGGATAGGTAGGAGTTGAAGGATTGTGATCTGAAGGTGGCTAATTCCAGTTTTAATTGTTTGCAGTAGTAATTATAGGAGCAGCGGTCGGTAGGATGTCGGGTACGTTGCCATAATAATCTGGCACGGCGTTTGGTGCGGATTAGGTTAAGGAGGTGTTGGGGTAGAATGGTCTTTATAGGAATTCTGGAGGAGTCTTTTGGGAAGGAGGCAGTCCAGGCGGCTTGTTGGATTGTGGTAGTAAAGGAATTTACGGCACTATCAAGGTCATCGGGAGTTTTGAGGGATATGTTGAGATCAATATTATCGGAGATTATTTGGCGGAAAAGGTCCCAGTTTACTGGGCCCCTAATGAATGACGGTGGAGAAGGTTTGGGAACAGGTTCAAGTGAAACATTAAGGATTAGAGGACTATGGTCAGAGGAAAGTTCATTTAGACGTGTAATGGAACAATTGAGGGGACTTAAGCCGCTGTGGATAAAGAAATCAAGAAGATCAGGATTACGGTTGGGATCTGTGGGCCAGTAGGTAGGAGAGTTGGGGGAAAGGAGGTGAAAACGTTGGGAATTGAGTGCAGACAGCAGGGTTCGGCCACGAGAATTCGTGGTTCTGGAACCCCATTGTTGGTGCTTGGCATTTAGGTCTGCACCCAAGATGAAGTGATGTCCTAAGGAGTCGAGGAGAGAACTGAATTGGGCATTGGATATGGATCGGTTAGGAGGGCAATACGCTGATGCAAGAGTGACCGGAAAGGAGAAGGTTTTTATCACGATAGCGGTGGACTGTAGGAAATCATGTATTGGTAATGGGAGTAGGTGATGGGAGAGGGATTGGTGTACAATTACAGCAGTACCGGCATGTGCTTTTCCGTCAGGGTGGTCAGTACGATATGTCAGGTATTGTGGTATATTGAAGTGCTGTTTAGTGGTTAGTCGAGTTTCAGTAATTAGTGCCACATCAATGTTCTTGTCAAGTAGTAAAGTAGATAGTTCGTCTGTATGATTTCTAACACCATTCGCATTCCAAAGGAGAATGGATATGGGTTTAGGGATGTGAGTCATTTAAGGATTTTTCAAAGGAGGGATGAGGTGAGATACGAGATTCGTGAGGAGTGATATGAGTGGAGTAACAAGGGATTTGAAATCGGTGAGGAAAGATGCTAACAAACTTGTGAGATCTGTTGCATTTGAAGGAGGAGGAATATGAGGAATTTGTTGTTGGTGGTTAGGTATATTAGGATGAAGAGGATTTTGAGGTTGGGTTTGAGGTTGTTGTTGTGGCAGGGCTTGACATTTATCGGTTAAAGTCTTACCTCTAAGTAGTTGGGAGAATGATACATCATTGTTTACAATTCTGGAAGGCTCTCTCTCTCTTCTTGTTCTTAGTGCTTCATCTTGAATCCGGTTTTTCTGGTGTCTGGTTTTGAGATTCTTGTAAATTTGGCAGCCTTTGTAGTTGGCCGGGTGTCCCTCCAAGCATAGGGCACATACTGCTGGATCTTGTATAGGTTTGGTGCACTCTACAGATTTGTGCTGTTCACCGCACTTCACGCAACGCGGCAGATGGTGGCAATATGTCTTCGTGTGGCCATAGGTCTGACAATTATGGCACTGCACGATGTCTCTCTTGGGATATGGCTTCTCAACTTTCACCATTGTATAGTATATTCTTGTGATATCATATATTTTTTCGATACCTGGTGATGGCTCCAAGTCCACGAAAAACAATGGTAGTGGGATCCTATTTCGTAATCCTGGCTGCTCCCTGTCCTCCTTCAAAACGTTTGTTACCTGGCGTACATTGAACCCAAGCGTCGTTAGTTCTTCTTTAATAACGTCAGTGGGGTTTGAGGAATGTAAATTTCTTATCACCACTCGTAAAGCTCTTTCCTGCCTCAGCTGGTAAGTGTGAAAATTCGCATTTGTTTCTGATAAGTACTTCACTATTTTTCGGTAGGCTTCTGCAGAATCAGGTGTTATCTTGGTGTCATTGGTCCTGTTAAGGCATGAATAACTGCCAGAGCAGATTTTATTTAGTTGGGTGCAGAACATCTGGAAATTTTTTATATTTTTCACAAATATCGGAGGAGGCTTTGGTTCTCTGGGAATTGCTGCAGACTCCATTACTTCTTTGTCATTTTGAAGCACTTGGTAGGGGTTTGGAGTAAAGAAAGGTGATTCTTCAATCGTTTCTTGTGCAGACGTACCTGGTTGGGGCTGAGGTTCTGGTTCTGAAGTGTTCATTTTGGTCACTGGAGGTATTTCTCGTAGGCAGCGACGAGTCCTTTGTTTGGCTGGTGAGCTAACTCCGTCTGACCGAGACCTCTTGGGCACCTTACTGGCCATCACTTGCTGATCATACCGCATATCATAAGAGAAAAATAAATAAATAAATAAAAAAAGAAAAAAAAAAAAATTTTTTTTTTTTTTTTTTTTTTTTTTTCTTAAAATAACAAAAAAAAAAAAGATGCCAACAGTAAATATCAACTGCTCTGATATACACTTTAACTGTATCACGTGAATAATCAGAGAGATTCCGCTATAAAATTGGTAAAAACTGAGAGAGGAGTTGAGGAGACAACCTTCTCATCAGCTGATCAGTGTTTAGATATTATTAAATTAATATTTTAGAAAATTTTATATTTTTTATAAGGGCAGTGTCCTAGATCAAAAAATTGAGTCTTCATGTTCCATGAATTGCTTTGAACGAAAATTACTTCGTACTCCTCTATGAAAGTAAAAACCCCTTCAATTGAGTGTATAGGCAAAGCTGAATTCCTTTGCTGTAGTTATGGCTTGGTTGTAACCGAATTCACAGCTTCCTAAGATCTTTTTTATTATTATTATTTATGAAATTTACAACTGTACATTTAAAATACATTCAGCGAATGTGATACAGATAAATACATGACATGACAAGGCTTGTAGAGAATCTACCCATTGGTAGCACTCTAATAGTAAGAAGATCCGGAGTGTTTTTGTGAAAGCTTCATTATGCTCAAAATAATCGATTTTTTATAATCAGTCATATTAATAACTAATTTTAATGAATAATTTTCATATAAACATAAATCTTAAGTTGATGTTGGGTATTTATTTTTGAATTTTATTTATGTTTTGTTATTTCCATTTATAATGCATCATGAGTGTTGCGATTCCATAATAAGATATTTTTTTAAATAAGAAAGATCTTTTCAATTTCCACTATTTAATATTTTTTTAGAAAGATAAGCAAACTCAAGAGTATGCGAATATATTTTAGTCTTATTTTCTCTTCCTCCACACCTCCATCATCCTCTCGTAATGTTGAGTCTTCCTCTGCTCCCTCCACTTCTTTTCCCATTTCCTGAATCCAACCCTTGATTATTATTTATTGATATCACTATTTTTAAAGTTTATATATTATTTTTTAATGACGTAATTTTGTTATGATAGCCTCATGTCTTTCTGTTGCAGCTTGATTCGGAGGGAATGGCGGCCAGAGCCTTCGATCCGATGCCAGGTGCTGACGGGGCTGGGCAGGTCACACGACCACTCCACCTCCGCCAGGCTGAGGATAGACCCCAAGGTTCTGGTCTTCGTAGAAACCACATATTCCCGCCTCGGCAGGGATATTGCGGAACTCCTTGTCTACAATAGGATAAAGTAAGTTATTTTACTTTATAGAAAACAACATACATATGTACTAACATAAGTCGTAGAAGGTCCTGCAAGTATATATCATCATCTTCGACGCTGTGTTGCAAGGATTTCCTAAGGCACTTTGCAAGACCAAGACCAATACTGTTAAAAAAAATCGATTTTTTGAATATAATTTAAGGCAAAATAGTAAGTAATACTTGGCAATTTTAGTTACTATATGTAAAGAATTGGTGTAACTAACATACTATTGCATTTAACTCTTCTAATTTTTCATTCGGGCTTAGTTAAGTTTCTCCTATCTAAAAAATCACAGAAAATCCATCCAGCATGAAAAGTCTGGGTAAAAAATATTTCCTATAATATTTAATATTTATCCTATAATATTTAAAAATATTTCCTTTCTGCAGTTTTCAGTAGCAGTATCTTTGTTTTGATCCATTTTTTATTATAATGTATTTAGTGATACTTTCGCTAAACAATGTATTGATTTTTTTAATAGTTGTCCTTGGGTAATAATCATTGGATCCAACGACGGTATTAATAATTGTTTTTTTTTTTTTTTTTTTTTTTAGAACTTGTTTATTGAGAAATATTACAATCTGTCTCAAAGGACATTTATAATAGTGTTCAGAGATCACATTCACAGTCTATGTTAAAAACACATTGTTAAAAAATAAAAAACATAATATTTAAATATTTTTTTCTCTCTGATTCTGTTATAAACACGAGAAACAGATTGCAGCAGAGTAACTGCAGGAACATAATTGAATACAATGACAATATTGATTGCTGTAACCCATATTATTTAATTATATAACTTTCTAAAATGGAAACAAATCTGTAAAAAAAATAATGTGTGATAAATATTCAGGACGCGGTAATTATAAGATAGTCTCCGAACAAATAGAATATATGGCCTAGCGATAGAGATGAGCAAAATCGGACGGATGTAATTAATTTGATAAAAATAGGTCTCAACCGCGGACTAGCACGTTGTGGTGTAACATTCAAGGAGAAATTGTTTGTGGGAGTGCGGCCGAGGAAGGAAACAAAGAGTATGAGTGGTCACTGGTTGTTAAAATTCTGTTTTTTCCCTCATATTTTATCACCAAGAGACCGTGTTTTAGCGCCAGGTTGTGATAATAAAATGTTAGGTAAGAGTTCCTTCTGCAGAGCGCGCCAAAGGCCGCCGGGGTCATGTAATGGCCGGTCATTATTTGTTAACAGGCGGATCGATTCCAATGAAGAGTTACCAGCATGGGCTAACAAGTCCAATTGGACTCGACTCCATTCTTCGAAAGACACCTCATTATAACTCAAACATTCGTAACTTTTTTGAATTGTATCATTCTGAAACGTAACTCAGTCCCTAATTGTTTATTATTTGTCATAATTACGATATTGTCCTTTCTAGAGACTGAAAACGTAGAAGCACACTTCTGAACGTTTGTGTGTTCGATTCCCACCTGAGTCGGCTAATATTTATTTATTGGCGGCACCGAGAGTTGAATCTGTAGGAGTCTCTTAGTAGTAGTCCAAGGTCGAGGGCCAAGAATATTATTGAAGAAACGTGTCTGAAAATGTAGAATGTAATAATTATTCCTTATTTAAGTTTTGCTCATGTATATAGTACATACTATTTACGTAAATATTTGCTTAATTGATGATTTAGAGCAGCAGAATAAAAGAATATAAAAAATTTAAGTTGTTCTTCAAAATTTCGGAATTTACGTATTAAATTATAATTTCTCCAACTTTTGAAGGTTTGCAGATTAGATAGTAAATATATATTCTTGAAGCGGTTTTTTTACTACCTAAAGCTCATGGACTTACAACTTGTTTTGCCAGAGAGATGTTTGATAGATTATTGTATGTATGGGCTTCCATTTGATATGTAATATCACAACCCCAAAACGAATTTTTTTTTCATTTTAAATTTCAAGATGGATAAATGATGACATCGAGAGTAATTAAATTTTAATTCTTCCTATCATATTATATTATTTTTGCCTTCCAATAAACATTTACACAGTAAAAAAAGGGAAAGCCTGCATGCTGCAGATAAAGGTGCGCACTTATCCACCTAATAACGCCAATTACTCTCATATTCAATAAGAACACACCCCTGATGAAGACCTGTAGTTCGGGCCAAAACGTCGGCAAAAATAAATAAATTTATTTATTTTTACTTGTGACTTCTCACCCCAACCAACTCCTCTTCATTACTCTTATATTCTAATTACCAATACCCGGCCTGAATTATACTTATGACTATATAAAATATCCATCATTGTAAACTCCACTTATTTGCAGCCGCATTGCTTAAAACCCATTCATGTAATAAAACTACACACGAGGAAATTTGTATGATTTGGCGGCACCTTCCGGTCATGCCATCCATGCGGACATAATATGTACCTCTGTATCGAAAAAAGATTAGGTAGTTTTGAAATCGTAACCTAGTTAGAGTAATTAATTACTGGCCCATCGCTGGTTAGCTTTGTCCAAATAATGGTTTATGACAAACATGTAATTGTACACGTTGTTACCATTGTTACAGAGCTCGCTTTGCTATCACCGTTATATCAAAATGAACCATAAACACGGTGATTTTATTTCGTAACAAGTCAACGATACCTTCTCTCTCACAAAGGTTGTCATCCATTTCCATTTTAATTGGTTTCTCTTGTTTCGAAGAAATGCTTCGTTAAGACGAGATCTTGTATTTCAAAAAAATAACTTCCTCACTGAGTCTACCGAGTTTGAATAGTTTTGATCTCTATTATCGTATTTGAATGTAAAGTCTTGAAGGCGGATGCTACGAAATTTCCTCCTCCTAAGCTGCTGTTTGTACTCTAATATAATTTCAGTGAAATCCACCGGAAGGTCGGGCTCTTCTCGACGTTATTCTGTCCCTATTCATTATACATTTTCATCACATCGTGTGAAATAAATTAAATTAGGTCTCCTTTTTACCGTTTAGCAGCTTGCTAACTTACTTTATTTATTTATTTTAAAAAATATCGAAATACTTGATGAAGTTAGTCGACTGTTCTACATATCATAATATAATATAAATATTCAGGACGCAGTCTTTTTTAATTTTTTTTTTATTTTTGCCAACGTTTCAATCCAAACATGTGGGTCATCTTCAGGGCTGAAAATGTTTTTTTTAAATTAAAATCAGAGATATAATAGTATACGACCGCTAATTATAAATAATAAGCTATAGTGATTGATGGCACATGAATCTTAACTAAGATTGTAATACACATATTAAAATAGTTATACAAACTAAAAATAAAAAATAATGTATATATAAATGGATTATATACATTATTTTTTATTTATTTATCACCCAAAATATCAAAATACTGTTCTTATCATTACTTTTTGTTTGATGTTATTTGTAAAAGGTTTTAAGTGATTCAAATACGTTCCCATATGTTAAAAAATCTCTTTCAAGAACCGAAAGTGATAAGACATCGTAATGGTCGATAAGACATCCATACTGAGTTCGAATCCATTGCATCATCATGTAGAGCTTCACTTCTAATTTTTCATGGTCCCACTAAATGAATCTTCGTATTCTCTGTCTATTTAGGGAAGTGTCATAATGTCTAATAAAATAGTAATGTCATATATACTTTTTTGAAGGAAATTCACAAGATTAAAAATAATATTGAGCTACATAAATGTACCTGAAAATATATTAAATAATGTATAATTTAAATTTTAAACATATTCAAATGCTTCTTGTGCATAGTATATATATTCGAAAAATAGAGAGGTAAAGAGTTGGCTGTTCAAATACAGATTAAAAAAAGCGAGATAAAAGTTATTATTTTTTTTTTTCGAAATAAGCGAAGTATGAGGATGGATATCTCGATAACTAGACAAAATAGCGAAAAAATGAATATAATCTATCTTGTTGCAAATTTCGTCAGCTTTAATTTTATATACATAATGCTGATCATCAGGATATATAGTTTCCCTGATATAACCAAAAATTCAAAATAAGTCACTTTCTTGGTACCTCCATATGTCTAGGAGTGTTGGGATTTTTAGTATGTTTACCTCCTAACAAAAATTCCAAAGTAAAATCGTGTTACTTTTATTTCCCTCCATATATTGCATATATAGATAAATATATGATAAATGTATCCCTTTTCTAAAAGAGAAATTCTGCAAGATTTTAGGAGAGAGATATTTTACTGTAAGAGGCCTCCTGTGATATTGGCCGAGAACGTTATTCTGGACTCCCTGGGAACCATCCATTATCACCTATATAGTAATTGACTGTCGTTTAATTGAGGATGTTTATTATCATTTATTCAATTTTAATATTGTAATTTTAGTACTCAATTTTTTTTTTTTTTTTAAATGTCAGTTATATTATACAAGTCTCGTCCATGTGATTATTGTGTCACAGTGATAATTTAATGTAGTATAGTAAGAACACTATGTATGATTAGTGATATGAAAAGGAAGGAAAAAAACATAATAATGGGATTATTATAGTAATGATGTATATTTTATTTTATTTTACAGTTACTTTTAATTTTGAAAATTCCTTCCTTTAACTTGAGGGCTTCATGTTTCGACCACTAGGGTCATTTACATTATAGTCTCTGTTATCTGTTAGCATTCATTATATTTTATTGTATATGTCGATCGTTTTTAATTTTTAATGTTTCATAATTTAATGTTTAAACAGGTATAAGGTAGAAGTGGCTACCAAGTCCCTTCCAGTGCTCACTAACTTGGACAAGGGACGATATGGAGTCATTGTCTTTGAGAATCTGCATAAGTACTTGCAAATGGACAAGTGGAATAGGGAGCTCCTTGACAAGTACTGTCGAGAATACAGTGTAGGCATCATTGGATTCTTGCTTGGTACTGAAGAGCGCCAGGTTCACGCACAGTTACGTGGCCTCCCCCTCTTTGTTCACACAAATCTCAGGCTAAGGGTGAGTTCCATTTGGTAATGCATATTATATTATGAATGGCCATTTTTAAACTTGATAATTTAGTGTAAATTGTTTCTAATTGTTACATTGATTTGTTTTTAAAAAGGATGCTGCACTAAATGCTGGTTCCCCTATACTAAGACTGACAAGAGCGGGAGAGACAGCATGGGGAACCCTTCCTGGAGAAGACTGGACTGTATTCTCTCCTAACCACTCTACCTATGAGCCTCTAGCATGGGCGACCAATCACAGTCACAATGAAGAAGGAAGGAATAAGACTCCATTAGTAACTGCCATTCAGGTGTGTTCACAAAAAATTAATAAAATCTAAATTTTTAGATTTTATGAATTTTCAAATAATCGATTGATAATGATGCTTTGTAAATAAAATCTTCTTTATTTAATTTTTATTAGAAATAAATTTTTATAAAGCCTTTTTTATCTTGAGTGCTGTTTTTGTTTAATTGTCATTTTAGTAGATAATTGTTGCAACATGTATTTTTATTTGTATTATTACTATTTCATTAAAAATTTCAGGATCATGGTGGCTTTGATGGAATACAAAGAGTAATGTTTGGATCTGGACTAAAATTCTGGCTCCACAGACTTCTGTTCCTTGATGCACTCTCGTACTTATCCCATGGCCAACTGTCAATCTCTCTTGAGAGGTATATTCTTGTTGATGTGGATGATATTTTTGTTGGGGAAAGAGGAACGCGTCTGAGAAGAGAAGATGTTATTGTAAGTTTTGTAATATTATCTCAAAGCTCTATTATTATATTATGAGCTCTTTTAGATATATTAATAATTTGTCATTATAAATTAATAAAATTTATGTCTGATTACAGGCACTGTTAAGTACTCAACAAAGAATTCAAGAAATGGTTCCAGGTTTCAAATTTAATCTTGGATTTTCGGGAAAATATTTTCACCACGGTACATCAGAGGAAAATTTAGGGGATGACATGTTGTTAGGTAATAAACGAATTAATATTTGTGATCACTAACGTGCAAGGGTCCCCAAAAGTGAGTGACATGATTACATAACGACAATTTTTCTAAAATAAAAACTGCCTTTATGAAATGATTTTTAGTGATTCTTGAAGAAGAAAAACAAAAAAAAAAAAAACTGAAACAACCAACAATACCTTGAGAGATACATTTCTTATATTTTTTCTTGATATGTGCTTACATTTAGTAGCTATATAACCTAAAAAGAGAATATATATTGCTATTGTTTAAGTATTTAGCTTAGATCACTCCCATAAACAAATATGGACCTATGAAAAAAAAAAAATTCATTTGGGAAGAGTGGATTTCAGCCACATTTTTTCTACAGCCTAAGATCATACAAAATCTTGCAAAACTTTAATATTCCAAGTCTTTCTGGTAATTTAAACTATAGAATTTATATATTTAACACACCGAATGCCTTTTTCAGGATTTCGGTCTAAAAAGTCAATTTAATTTAATTTTGTTATATAATTAGAAACTTTTATTTTAATACATCATAATTATCAAAAAGGTCTACAAATTTCATCCTACCTGAAAAAATGTGGCTCCTAAACAAACTACAAGTAACTCGAAATTAACCTCCAGGACAAAAATAAAATCTAACTATAAGTTATCTCTTAGTTGAGCAATCAACCTCTTAGTATATTGTTATTAATATAACCATAATAAACGTTTTCATTAGTGATAATTTAATAAGCATGTTTTTGCTTTGTCGCCCATTTTTTTCCGTAGTTGGTCAATTAAAAAACTAAAAGATATAATTTTTTTTCAAATGTAAGTTCCAAGTTTCAGTAATGTACATATTTGTTATTGATGTGTGTCTATTTATTGTGTCACATATATTAAAATTTATAAAGAATAATAAAATTTTATAAAGATATCTTTACTTAATATATATGTATGTGTTTTTGTTCCTTTAAGTTTTTTTTTTTTTTTTTTGTCTTAATTTTATATTCTGTTACAGAAAACCTTGATAAATTCACCTGGTTCAGCCATATGTGGAACCATCAACAGCCACATCTCTATGAAAATCAAACCCAGTTGGAATATGACATGACGTTAAACAGAAATTTTGCTAAAGTAAGTCACATCATGCTAAACAATCGTATAAAAATGGCTATTTTATGTATTACTAGCTTTACCCGGCCACGGGCTGCTGTCGCTTACCCTGGCAAAATGAAAGAAAGAAAATATAAAGCACAAATGAAATAATACCAAAGGACATCTTTCATTTTTAAAAAGTTGGAAAACAAAGGTGTCTGTGAAATGGCTTCAATTAAAACTAATTCTAATGATTTTTTTTTCATGATTCAACTTGAACATTTGTAATCATCTGAGTGAATAGCCGCCATTCTTAATCATCAGAAACAGTCTGAGTTGAACTTATAAAACTAAAATTGACTTTATCTGTGCTTTCTAAAAATGACAGAAATCGACCCTTTCATATCAAACCACTCATATATTATCATATTTAATTTTTTTTTTTTTTTATATTTAATGTATTGTTTAATGTTCAACTTTGTGTTGATCATTTTATGGTAAATAAAAATGTATATGTTTGGTTGTTTTTTAGTTATCGGCAAATAAAATATTGAATTCATCGTAACATTTTTCAGCACAACATTTTGTTTTCGGGAAAGTATGTTGTACACATAAATCAAAACGGTTTCAAGGGGAAGACTTTAGCCAAGTTTTGTTAAAATTGTTAAAGCCGTTTTGGCACTGCAGTTTATAGCGACACATTTTTTTGCAGCTTTAAACAAAAAAACATTTACATTTTTATTTTTTTTACATAGATAAAGTTATCGTAAGACAGAAGTACTATGCCAGAAACCTTCCCAGAAGTGTACGGAACAACTTCCCAAAGTTTCATGGCGATCAAATGGTTTAGTAATGCATGAAGGACAAACAGACAGACAGACATACATTCATTTTTATATATATAGTTTTATAATATTACTGATGGAACACAAATTTTCTGATAAAGTGTTGTTTGACTGGTGTACTAGTGAAGAATTGCAACTCTTAATTTTTAAACAGTCAGTGAAAAATTCTGAACCAACAAACCAAGTTAAAATTAATGATTAAAATACTTCAAAAATCTGTACTTTGTATTGGAAGAACTATTTGAAATGAAACAAGATTTCTCACACATAGTAATAACTTTCCAGACATTTTTGAATTATTAAATTAACCTGAACTCAGGCCATTTATATCATTCAATTCCAAATTAAATTAAATTTTACTTTTTTTTATTTGTCTTATTTTACATCAGATTTGCCAATGTGTTTATAAATTTACAATTATTTTCACTTTATTTTCTTTTTTTTATTATAAGGAGCATGGTATACCTGTGGATTCGGGTTACTCTGTTGCCCCCCATCATTCTGGTGTTTATCCTGTTCATGAACTTCTTTACTCTGCTTGGAGACATGTTTGGGGTATCAGGGTGACATCGACTGAAGAATATCCACACTTAAGGCCTGCTCGCCTTCGTAGGGGTTTTATTCACAGAGGAATCATGGTATGTAAAAGAAATATGAAGATTGAACATAATTGAGTTTAACAATTTTATGCAATCTAAATGCCATTTCCAACAGCCTAAAAAGTGGGCTAAATGTCATGATGATAATTATCATGACTTTTAATCTCTTTTTAGTCTGTTGGCAATAATATTTGGCTTGCCTAACTCAATTTTTCTTTGTTTAGCTTTTAGACTATTACTGATGTCCAGGCTTCTATTTGTACAAATTATATTTTTCTTTTTCAATTGATTGGTTGAAACTGAGACGATAAATCATTTTCAGGTTCTTCCTCGCCAAACGTGTGGCCTATTTACTCATACAATTCTAATTGACCGTTACCCTGGAGGAAGACAAAAATTAGATGAGTCTATTCAAGGAGGAGAATTGTTCCAGACTGTTGTTTACAATCCTGTGAGTATATTAATTTATTTATCAAATTATATACACTATATATCAATATAGTGTTTATAGTTATCAATTTTCTATTAAATGATTATTCTATTTATAATAAGATGACCAAATTATGCTACTAAACATATTAAAAAATTTCTTTATCATCAATAGATTCTTGTAGGTTTATGGAATAATTACAATATTCTTTCTCAAAAAGTTCATTAATTTTTCGATTCTTTTTAAACTATGATATTTTATCAGACAATTAAATTACTGTGAAATGAACTGTGAAAAAATAGTATGTGAAATTACTTTTGTATACCTTGAAGCTGACATACCTTGAGAATTATTAATTTATAACTGTTGAACCATATCAAACTTGAAAACATATCACTTGGACTCTATTGCAGCTCAAATTTATGCTATTTTTTCCATGCAAATGCCCGATTTGACTTAACAAAAACTGTGAAGTTAGCCGTCAATATATACAAAGTTAAAATCAATATGAGCTTTAAATTTGAAATTTATTTATTTAGCATCCTATTATTTATTTAATTATTTTTTTTTTGTCCAGCCATAATTTCTTTAAATAAAGAAAACATTGTCTGTTTATTGTAAAAATATATTGTAAGCAGTGGCAAATGTGATAGGGCAAGAAGGGCATGAGCCCTGGGCACTATTCAAAAGGGGACGCAAAATTAAACTTAAAAATTCAACTAACTCAACAAACCTCTAATAAATAAACCCAACCAACCCTACATTCAAACAATCTCAAAATTCCTGTACCTGTTGAGTTGTGGGGAATGAGCGGAAGGGAATCTGAGCAGCACAGTACTAGTAAAACTCCATACACGCCATATTCTATATAATGATATCCCTTTTAAGTCTTTATGTTGAAAAATAAAGTGAAAAAGTGAGAAAACCGCTAATAGATCAAAATTTTAAAACACTGTATTACGGCATTGATGATTTACGAAGGAAAAGTAAAGATTTGGAGATTTTTCTGGTTGAGATGTTAAGGAGGAACAGTTATAGGAAGAAATATTGGATGTTCTAATACTAGTATTTACAAGAAAAAATGTCAATATAGAGAAATATGGAGAGCTACTTGAATTTATTGTGCATTTCAATTCAAATTCTGCTCACAATTGTATTATGCTGTGAACTATCTTTCAGTAAACTAAAATTAATAATTTTTTATTTGAGGGCTACAATGGATCAAGAAAAATTATATCTCGCTTTGCTCAGTGGAGAGCAAGAAGAAACTAATAAAACTGATAACATCATCAATATATGTTGTATAACAGTTTCACGTACTTACTTTCTTTATAAAATAGATAATAAATATATTTTGTAAGATTCATGACTGTTTTATTTAGTTTATCTGTTTTATAATTTATGAATGGGTGCAACTTTGATGTGTGCCCTAGACACCAATTTCTATTAGTACGCCCCTGATCATAAGTACTGTTTTAATGGAGCTAAATCTTTAAATAAATATGTGTGAATTTCAATTATTTATATGGCTGCAAAAATAAAACAAAGCTTATATGTCAAAAGTAGTTACTCTTAATACACAATGTTTGGTTTCGCTGAAGGAAAATTCATCAAAGTACTTAATGATATAATCTTATAAAAGTATAAAATTACTTAATTACTTAATAAGTATAACTTACTTAAAATCCAATAATTTAGTGATTTAAATTTAATTATATTTTATTTTATTTTATTTAATATATTTATTTGAAATTTATTTGTTTACAGATAAATATTTTCATGAGCCACATGTCAAATTATGGTAATGATAGGCTTGCTCTCTATACATTTGAATCAGTAATAAAATTTTTGAGGTGTTGGACTAACTTGAAATTACTGAGCGCCCCTCCATTGACACTTGCTGAAAAATACTTTAGCCTTTATCCAGAAGAAGCTGATCCTGTATGGGGAGTAAGTTATATTAATATAACTATCTGAAGTACCTCTATACTATCTTTTAATTTTTATTCTAATTGGTTATAATTCAATTATTCTCAAAATAATTTTTTTTTTGTTTCTTAGAATCCTTGCCACGATCCTCGACATATAAAAATTTGGTCTCACAACAAAACTTGTGAACAGTTACCTCGATTTCTTGTTATTGGACCTCAGAAGACAGGAACCACTGCCCTTTATACATTTCTTCTTATACATCCAAACATCTCCAGCAACATCAACAGTCCTGAAACCTATGAAGAAATACAGTTCTTCAATGGCAGAAATTATTACAGAGGTCTTTCCTGGTATGGAAATTAATTTATTTCTATTAAGGTTTTCACAAGAAGGATTAAGCATGAATTAATTATTAACAAATGTAACTTTGTCCTTTATCTAATTAATTCCAGTAAAAATAAGTGAATTATTTTGGAAAAACTAATTTAGCCTAATAGAAACATTTTGGGATCCAGTTAATTAAATATTTCATCTATTAAGTGTTAAAGTTGAACTTCTTTTCCTTATTGTTAACATTTTTTTATTAATTTATATACAAATGAATATTTCTATAATTTTATTCATGTTAATAATGTAATGTTTTTGATTATATTTATATTAAATCATAAACAATTTTCATGCCTTCCCTACAATTCATATGTAATTTTAACTTAGTTATTTCATTATAATCTTAATTTATCTCCATTTAATCATATAATTTAATATCTCTTTGTCATTAAATTATCTTTAACATATTGTTGAATAACTCTCAATCTATAATAAACATATGAAATCAAACTAAACTTAAGTAAATTTCTCTTTTAGCTATTTATTAATACAGCCATTTTATTTTCAGAAATTATAAACTCGCTTTATTTTTTAGGTACATGGATTTCTTTCCTATTGTTAAAAATAATTCAGCTCAGTATCTCTTTGAAAAATCGGCTACATACTTTGATGGTGAGCTTGTACCAAAAAGGGCTCATGCTTTGTTACCTCAGGCCAAATTAGTAAGTCAGCTAGAATATTTTTCTTAATATATAAACAATTTTTAAAATTAGTTTATAGAATAACTAATTACAGTTATACTGAAACGTTATCATTAATAGGATATTGTCTTTTCCAAACAGGTTACCATTCTTATTTCACCAGCAAAGAGAGCTTATAGTTGGTACCAACACATGAGGGTCCACAAAGATCCAATAGCATTGAATTACAGTTTCTATGATGTCATATCTGCTACTGATACTGCTCCCAAAGTTCTCAGAGATCTTAGGAACAGGTTAGTTGTGACTAGTTCCATTATAGAAGAAGTAAATGCATTGATTTCTTGAAACTTAGTTAAAATATTCGTCAAAAAAAGTGATTTGTTTTGAAAATTCTAATGTGGTGTTTTATGTAAAAATAATATTCTATATTCTATTCTGTCTCATGTAAAAATAATATTTTAAATTCTATTTTGTATTTTATTATTATTGAAAATATGAAAAGAAATGACAAAATATGATTAAAACATAATTATTTAATTTGAACAGTTAGTATTGTAAGTTTTTCAATACCACACCATTATCATGACTGATAATATTGCTATCATTAGCTGGGGGATATTTTAAAATAATTCAATATCAACACCAACATCTAGAATTTAATTAAAAACATTTTTGGTCATATAAATCCCATAATATTGGTATATAAATAAAGTATTCAAGATAATCATTGCACAATCAAAAGTATTCTTATTTGATTGTTATATTAAATAATTAAAATCTTCTTTAGTCTGCTGCAGCCCTTCATTAGATGAATAAGGGAGATAAGCTGCTTTAATTTGTTGTGTAAGACTCCATAAGCCTAGAATCAAATAATTTTAGTTTATCTTTTTGCTTTGTGCTTAATTCAACGCGTCTGAAGCTATGTTCGCCGAGCATGTTAAAGCATTATAATATAGGTTATAATTATAACCTGCTTTGACATTCATGAGTCTAGTGGCGTTGTTTCCAGGTAAGTTGAAATTTATTTCTTGGTGTACCCAAGGAATATTGGCTCTCCTACTCTACTTTAAATAGTTCTGGTTTTATCTTTAAATAAGTTATAAAGAATCCTCCTGTATGTCATGAAAGGGTAGGCGATAAACAAGATAATTTAAAATTCAATTGATCAGAATGCTTCTGTCCAATTAATGATATATTGTGTATATTATATTGGATGGGATGAAGAAACAACCAGCATAGTTCCTGAAGCATGACTAACTAATTATAGTTATACTAATATATATATTGTTTACAACAAAACATCAATCAGTTTAGTTCATTCCACTTTATCATTATTATTGGTTCATTGACGTCTGATGCTAATTTTTCGGCTGATATTAATTAGTATTCCATGTCATCTCTTTTGCAATGGTTACCTCTCCTCAAATCTAAAAGATGATCATACAACATTTATCTTGATAATCACCATGCAGGTACTTTTTCCAATCCAAATCTGCTTTTCTTAATAAATCTTACAATTCGGATTTTTTCCTTAGAACTGTTCTCTCCCATATTCTTAACATATTTTCACTAGCAACAATCATTACCCAGGTTTCACTACTGTATGTTACTGTGGGCTAATTTCCATTTTATCATTTTAGTTTTTAATTTAAATCTATATTTTACTTTACAAAAAATATCAAAAAAAAAACGAAAGGCATTCCTATCAATGATAAATAAAGGCCCTTCTTGTGTTTCTTGAGTTAATCTTAGGGTCTTATTTATCATTTCTGTAGGAAGGTAAACTATAAAATTTAAGGTACTATCATACTATGAAGAATATTAGAAAAAAATATCCAATCAATTAATTCCATTTGCAGACTTCAGTTTGTTTTTTAAGAGCTCTTAAAGATAAAGGTTTGTTTGGTGAACATATAGGCTTAATTATAATTTTATGTTTCGTATCATCGAATCCATTTACTGTTCTACCAACTGAAGTAGATGCTCAATGTCATAACACTAATCAACCCAGTGCAGAAGTGATTTCGAAACCTCCACCGATCTACGTAAAATCAGTGAGTAACTACAAACTGTTATGTGACGAGCTAGTCAAAGAGGTAGGCTCAAACGGGTTCACTTTAAAATCTGGAGCTAATAATGTAGTTATAATGTCGAATTCTTCCGAATGCTACCGACGAATATCGAAGTACCTCAAAGAAAGAAAAGCAGAATTCCACACCTATCAACTTCCTGAGGACCCCCCTTTTCGCGTAGTTATAAGAAACCTTCATCACACTATAGGTTGTGATATAATAAAAATGGAACTAGAAAAATTGGGTTACCAAGTATTAGGTATACACAATATCCTACATCCAAGAACAAAAGCTCCTTTGCCAATATATTTTGTTGATTTAGTCAAAAATGACAAAAGTTCACAAATTTATTCATTAGAATTTCTGTATTATACGAAAGTCATTGTTGAAGAACCGAGAAGACACAATGAAATCGTCCAATGCAAGCGGTGCCAATCCTACGGACACACAAAATCATATTGTAATTTAAAGCCGAGATGTGTGAAGTGTGCCGGATTACATCTGACAGCGAGCTGCAAAAAACCTTTTGACACTCCGCCTAAATGTGTCCTCTGTGAAGACCAAGGCTTACCAAATGAAAGGACTAAGAGTAATTCTTTGGAATGCCAACGGTGTATTATCCCATAAAAATGAACTCGAAATTTTTCTTAGTTATAACGATATAGACATTGCTTTACTGACTGAGACTCACTTAACAAAAAATATTAGGTTTCATTTACCGTCTTACATCACTTATCGGACTGACCATCCTTCAAATAGAGCTAAGGGAGCTACTCTCATTCTCGTTAAGAACTCGATCAGTCATCATTTCAATGCTTCTGAGGCCTGTGAGAGTTATCAATGCACTTCAATAGTGGTTAATATATTTCATTTTAATCTTACTATAGCAGCTATATATTGCCCTCCTGGAAAGAATTTATCAATCCAAACATTTAACCAGTTGTTACATTCTTTGGGTAACAAATTTTTGTGTGGCGGTGATTACAACGCTAAGAATCAGGTATGGGGCAGCAGAATCAGTAACTCTAGGGGCAGAGCCCTTCAAAATGTGATTCTTGCTCAGAATTGTAAATTCTTATCCCCCTCTTCACCAACATATTGGCCCACGGATGCTAACTGGATTCCTGACGTTTTGGATTTTTTCATTGCCAAGGGAATAAACGTACAGCATTGTGCTATTACTAATCTGACTGACCTATCTTCAGATCACTCCCCTCTTCTTCTAATGGTAGACTCAAAACCTATAACCAAATCTCCCCGACCGTCGCTAACACCTGGAAAAATTGACTGGAACAAGTTCAGATGATCTATTGAAAATACATTATCACTGAACACTAATATAAGAACACCTGAAGACTTGGACGACACAGTTCATCACCTCACATGAACAATACAAAATTCAGCATAGACTTCTGACATCTCAAGCAAAAAGACAGACAAACATGACCATAATTACATTTCACCTGAGATAAGATATCTTATCGTACAAAAACGAAAAGCTCGTAAGATATGGCAAAGAACTCGTTACCCATCTGACAAACACAAGTTCAACAAACTAACTTGACAACTTCACAATGAAATAAGACGTTCAAAGATAGAAAATTTTGACAAATTCTTGAATGGTTTACCAAATTGTGAGAAACCACTTTGGAATATAACCAAACGGATTCTACAGCATCATGATGTCTCACATCCTCTCAGACATGATGATGGTTACTGGGCAAAGTCAGATGCTCAAAAAGCGCAATTGTTTGCTCGCCACCTCGAAGAAACATTTAAACCTCATAATGACATAAATGACATACTCTCTACTACAATTGTCCAAAGTCACCTTAACGTACCCTTACCTATGGCATTACCACCAAAATCAATTCATCCTTATGAAGTTCAAAATTTAATTCAGAGCTTGCCTATGAAAAAGGCTCCGGGATTTGACTTAATTACCAATTATGTCATAAAAAATTTACCTTGGAAAGCAATTCTTTTTCTAACAAATATTTACAATTCTATTTTGAGAATCACACATTTCCCCACTCTCTGGAAATATTCTGAAGTTGTCATGGTCTTAAAACCTAATAAATCTTTAGACTCCCCAAATTCCTATCGTCCAATTAGTTTTCTTCTTTCCTTTTCTAAATTATTTGAAAAAATCATTCTTCATCGCCTTGATTCTCTCGATATATTTAAATTTATTCCAAATCATCAATTCGGCTTCAGAAAGCATCATTCAACTGTTCAACAATGCCATCGATTGGTAGATAATATTTCTAATTCTTTAGAATCTAAAAATTATTGCCCTGGAGTTTTTCTTGACATTAGTCAAACCTTTGATAAAGTTTGGCATGAAGGATTGCTCTCCAAACTTAAAATTTTACTTCCTCCGATCTACTATCTAATATTACTTTCATATCTAATGGATAGACATTTTGTAGTAAAAGTAGGGACAAAATGTTCTGACATCAAACCTATTAAAGCAGGAGTATCTCAGGGTAGTGTCCTTGGACCAATATTGTTCAATATATATATGTCTGACCTACCGGAACACAACGACACAATACTGGCTACTTTTGCAGACGATACCGCAGTACTAAGCTCAGATAAAAACCCTGTTTGAGCATCTACCATTCTTCAAAATCATCTGGACGATATTGCAGATTGGGCAACAAGGTGGAAATTTAGATGAATGAAAAAAAAAAGTGTGCATGTAGTATTCACTCTTAGCCATAAACCTTCCCCTGAAATATATTTTAATAACATTCAAATCCCAACATCAGATGTAGTTAGGTATTTAAGTTTTTACCTGGACAAAAGACTTACTTGGAAGACTCACATCAGACAAAAACGAATAGAATTAAACAGACGATACAGTCTCTTATCCAGATTACTTGACAGACGTTCAAAATTATCTTTAACTAACAAACTAACCCTTTATAAAGTCTTACTTAAACCTATTTGGACTTACAGCATAGAACTGTGGGGCTCTGCTAAAACTTCCAACATTAAAAAAGTTCAGTCCTTTCAGTCAAAAGTGTTGCGAAGGATAGTTGACGCACCTTTTTATGTCACAAATGATACACTACATAAAGACTTAAACGTACCTACAATTTTAGATACTGCAAAAGAGAACTACAACAACTTTCACCAAAGACTGATGCACAACATGAATCCTCTGACAGAAATCCTCCATCATACAAGAAACACGTACAGCCCACCACGACGATTACGTAGGCGTTGGCCAAGAGACCTGCTGATCTGATTTATATCCTGGACGTGATGGGAAGCTGTGAAGCTGCTAAAAAATTTGCTTATTGCAAATTTAATCGAATGTTCCACATTTTTGTTTGGTTAATAAAATAAATAAATGTTTTTTTTTTTTTAACGGTGTATCCGTCCAAGTAACATTATTTATTTAATCATAATTATTTTGTCTTTTCTAGATGTTTGAATCCAGGAAAGTATTCACAGCACTTAGAGCGCTGGCTTCAGTACTATTCACCACAACAATTACATATTATAGATGGTGAGCAATTACGTTCGAATCCTATTGAAGTAATGGACCACCTTCAAAAGTTTCTTAAAATCACTCCACTCTATGACTACTCATCCCATCTTAGGTATTTAATTCACATTAATCATGTAATTTTATTTATGTACTTTTTGTGATATGCTAATTTTACACTCGGAAATTTAATGTTAATAATAAATCTGACCCTTTATCTGCTAGTATCAGAATTTAACGTTTGAAGGATTTGAGATTTTTTATCTCTAAATTTAATTAGAAAAATTTCAATATTCTTGTCACTAGGACCGTTGCATGGGCAGGGCACAGGGCACCATAAATCAGGAACAAAAATATTAAAAATGCATAATGCTTTTGAAAAGTCTTATTTTTATCCGCTTTCTACTTTTTAATTCATTATTTTTCATCTTTGTATGATGAACTTAGATCATCATACATGACTAGCAGAATAATTATTTCTAACCTCAGCTTAGCTCCACTTGCTGTTGTTTGATAAATTAAAACAAGCTAGCTAGAGATTTATTGGTCATAAACAAAAGTGCAAAAATATAGTAAAGTACAATAAATGTAACCCATAAACATGAAACAATGTATTACTGGCCAAGTTCGAGAGATATATTGATTGCTAATTCCATACCTCTGTCACCCTGTTCTTGGTTGTTTGTTACTTCCTCTCTATTGTTGAGAATAGAGATTACAAAAACAAGTCTAAAATGTACAAAATTATCTACTACTACCTTTGGTTACTTAATTTTTTTTATATATATTATTTACCATCTATAAAATTACATTAATGATTTTTTTTCTTTTCTGTGAACTATTAATCACCTATTAAAAAAAAAATTACTTATTGTACTCAATTATAGATATGATATCAAAAAAGGATTCTTCTGCCAAGTAATGTCTCATGATCGTACTAAATGCCTTGGTAAAAGTAAAGGAAGGGCATATCCTCAAATGGAAGAAAGGGCTTACAAATTACTACAGGTATGTCGTAGCTAGAATATAATTTGTTTCTCTAACAGTTGAATAATCAATATGTTGTTGATTTATTTATAAAATAGACCTTGCTTATAATTAAAGTGTTTTATAATTATAATGGCTTTTTACACTGCAATTTCAAATTTAATGCATGTCTAGACAAGCCATTTATGATTTATGCAAAGTATATTGACAGTATACCAGCAAAACCTCATTAATGCTACTGAAATAATAGAAATTCCACAAGATTTCAGAGGTGTACTGTCAACATACAACTGTTTTAAAATATGAGGTAATGGTTGACTGATTAAAAGTTTTTGGGAATAAATATACAGTGGCTCACAGTGAAATTGATGCATCCAGTAGAAAAATTAAAAAAAGTCTTAAATGGTTATAGTAAACAAATAAAACCATTAACTTTTCAACAGATTCATTTATAATCTTAAATGAAATACGTACAAACTCAATAAAACTAAAAATTCAACTGTGATTATTTAAACAAATAAAACTAAAACTGGATAATTTAGTCTCATATTCAAAATGACAACTCACTTCTTATTAACTTTTTTCCCCCATTATATATTTCTTATATTATTTATGATTATTGTGTTTATATATTGCCTGTTTTTGTTTTTTTAACTTCGTGATTTATCATTATTAATGCTTTTTAGTTTGTTTATCCTAAATTTAAAAAGTTGATTAATCATTGGTGGGAAACAAAAATTGAAATTTTAGAGGAAGGAGATGGTTATGGGTGCCGGTCATTAAAAGACTAAAATAATGAAAAAGCTATTTCATTTCGAGTCAACGTTTCAACCCGACTTTTCAGGGTTAGAATGAACAAGATACAAGAGGATATAGAAAATTGTGGAGGTTACATAAGGAAATGTTGAAAGAAAAAGTAAAAATTATATGAAATAACGGATCTATATGAATTGTAATTTTTTCTGGAAGTAAACAAGAGTGTTTAAGAATAATGGTATTAGAAATAATACAATTACAGATAAAGTGTCACAATTAAAACAAAATTTAAGTTAATTATAGTCCCAGTCTACTGGTGTTCCTCAAGGTAGTATCATACACATGACTATAATAAGGCCAATCTGGACATACGGAATTGAGCTTTGGGGCTCCACTAAACCATCGAATTCCTCTCGTATCCAATCCTTACAATCCAAAATCCTTCGTAAAATCCTCAATGCTCCTTACTTTGTCACAAATAAAATCATTCATACTGACCTTAACATACCATATGTTTCCGATTTAGTCCAATCCAGATACCTATCCTTCCATAAAAAACTTCAAAACCATCGGAATCCTCTCATTTCAAACCTTGCTTCCTCTTCTATTCCTGATAACTCTCCAAGGCATCTAAAAAGAAGATGGCCTCGTGATCTACTTATGTAAATATATTATTAGAGTGTTACCAATGGGTAGTTTCTCAACAAGCGTTTTCATGTGATTGTATTATTACCTTGTGCACATTTACTAGATTTATTTTTAATTTATACAGTTGTAAATCTCATGAATAAATAAATTAAAAAAAATTAATCAAGTTCTTTAAATGAAACAGATTGTTTATGGCAGATGTATCCCATTAGACTGAAAATCTGTTTGATTGATAGAACATATAAAAACTACAAGCGTGAATAATATTAGGTATGATGACTTTAATGAAAAAAAAAAAAAAAAAATGAAGTTTTAATATCTTAAAATGTTGATAACATGGAAAATCGAATGTGTGTTCCATCGATATTTATTTCCTATAAAGGAAACATGGTGGAAAAATAATGCTAACTTTAAAAAAAAAGGCGGGTAATATGTAACCTAAACGATATAATTCCTATATTTACTTAAAATGAAGATGAGGTGGAGAGGACAAGAGCCGACAAGACTACCTCTCCGCAATAGTGGCTCTGTCTGGTGCTATCAGATTAACTTTATCTAAAACATTGTGGATAACCTCTCATCAACCAAGATGGCTGAAAGAGTAGTGCTTCGGAACTAGTACCGTTACTATTACTAGAATATTTATTGGTTACAATAAATTATTGTTTTCAATGTAATATAAATTGAACTATTTATTCATTCAATAATTTCTATCAATATCTAGGTGTATCATTTTGACTGAGCCGCTACATATTAACTAACCGTAATTAATACAATAAATAGCCATGGAAATACAATGTTACTCATGGAAATAAACAAGAAGCCCTTAATTCACTCCTCTGTCATTTTTGTTTATGTAGTTTTGTACAGATATAGTTTCTGTTTATTTGTGTATGCTTGTTATTCTTACGGGATCTTTTTGCACTAAGAAGTTTGTTTCTATCTATCTATTTATGTTGTTTCAGAGGTACTATCTTTCACACAACACAGCTTTAGTTAAATTGCTGAAGAGGTTGGGCCTGAGATCAGTCCCCCAGTGGCTGAAGGAGGACCTCAGTGATTTCCTTCCTGCCTGACAGTGGGAAGACTTGCCCTGCCCTGAGGGAATGGTGCCTTGATCAACTTAATTCATCCTTGTGACTGTTTTCTCAGTCTAATGGTTTTATATTGTGTAGAACCAATTGTACCTATATTTCAAGAAAATTACTCATGTTTTTCTGATTTGATTGTGAATACTGAATATTTATTCTGATTATTTGCCTATCTAATTAGTTTATTTACCATGTTGCACAAAAGGTAAATAAACTAATTTTTATTTCAGGTATGTTCAACAAAATGAACAAATGAAAAAATAAACATTTGCCATTTTGTTCTGGGGCCAATCTTCAAACTACAGTGTGAAAATTGTACAACATGACAGAATAAATTCAAAACCCTCAAATTAAATAAAAAAATAGTAATGCTACGAATCTCAGAAATACATGTGTGAATTGCAAATTGGCTCTTCTTGCGCAGCATAGTCAATATATTTTTTTTTTGCTCAGTGATACATGCAATGAAGATGAGTTTATCTTATTTGTTTGAAAAAAATATTGTATTTTGATTTGGTTGTAAAAATTATTATTACAATAATCACAATCGAGTTAATAAAATTAAATTATAGTTCTGTAGTGTTGAATTGATTTTTAATTTTTAGTTTTTTTATTATTCTTTAAGTGATAAAAATATTTGTGCCATGTTTTAAACTATCAATGGCATTCAGTGGGTATTAAATTGCAATGGATTTCGCTTCCATGATCTTTAAGGAGGGTTGAAAAATCAGGTTATTATACTGTCTTCAGATAGTTATATCATGATGTATAAAAAGTGTAATTATATTGTAAGTACTTATAAATATGTATGAAAGTCTGTGCAACAATGATTTGAATAAAACAAAAGATATTGTATTTAAAAAGTCAATTTAAAAAAAAATAATCATTGATGTTTGCCTATAAAAATTGAGGGATGGTTGTTTATGAGCTAAAATGGAAAAATTAAAATAATGAGTACCCTAGCTTATAAAGGTAGAAAATTCCATCTAAAACAAAACAAATAGAGATTCCTAACATTGTTAATCACCAATTAATAATTGAAAATTTTGTTTAGAAGCTGAAATTTTTATAAGATTTATTTGTTTTAAAATCGAAATTATCATTTCTGGATTTCCATCAACCCTAATTAATAAATCCGACATATCAGTGTTTCGAATCATTACTTTATCTAATATTGTTGTTAGCCAATTCCATTGTTAATGACATAAGTGGCGGAAATGTTTATGGTATTTAGATTTATAATTTTTAAAACTTTTGTTCACTATAGGCAAATTGGATATGATTTTATAATATGTTCAGTACTAATAAAAGTTTATTATTCATATGAGAATTTATGTATAGTATAGGATAATCATTTTTATCTTTTTAAGAAATTTTCACTTATAAATAAAAAATGAATAAATCTGAAATCATGTTTTACTTTCTACGATTTGTTTGTTGGTATATATTCTTGAACTGAGGCAGGGAAGTTGTTCTACCTTTCTTTGATTTGTATGGACTAATAAATTTTGTGCTTATTTTTACATTGAGAGGCAAAATTGTCTCCAACCTTAATTTTTCTTTCTTTTATTATTTTTTTTTCTGAACCATTGTGTATATCATACAGAAAAATATTTATATTTTATTCTTTATACTTTTTTTTTGCAATGACTGATATTTTCAGTGTTTATATATCAATTTGTCCATCTATAATATGAAGAGATAGAGATATAGTTGACTATTAAAATTATAAGGATCAAAAATAGTCAAGAAATATAGTCATTTATTATTGGCAAATTAAAAAAATTCCATTAATGACTGTATTTCCTGATTGTTTTTCATTCCTATGATAAGAACATGTTATAATTCATAGCATCTGGGATTCGGTTATTAGTAATAACAATAGTGTCTTAAATAATTTTTAATAAGTTATGGTTTATTTGTGGATTTTATATTTCCTATCTCAATTTTACTGTTTAGACCAGCTCTAGCCTAGTTGGTATTCACTTATCAAGCTTAGAATTAAGGAGAAATTTTGGACAATACTCATCTTGTAACTCATATCAATTTGTATATAAGCATATATATCCTTACCAGGTTTGGTCTGGTTCATATATGACCCACCTTTCTTAATAAAAATATAGTCCTACTGTTTTATACCTGGGATGTAAATTTTTATTGATTTAAGAAGTACTGTTTGTAATGTACTTTATATTATATATAAATGTATAAAGAAACTTGTTAGTAAATGTGATAGGTGTTTATACAAATATATATATCAAGTGTATTGTTATTTTTAATTTTGGTTTTAATATTTAAAATCAGAAAAAAGTTATATATGTAAATGTTTGTAATAACTGCCCAAATTGTAAATAATTTTGTCGTGTAGCAAAAATATTTTTACTCATTCCTGCCATTTGAGTGTGCTACTTTAAGTGTACAGAAATATCAGGGTGGCATCTTTACTTTGTGTACCTAAAAAATGCAGCCCGTTCTACCTACCGTCAATTCTTTCAATACCATTGCCCAAGTTACCATTTTTATTGATTTTTTCTTACCTTAACTAAATGCTACATGTTATTACTTTAAATCCTCCGCCTTTATATTTTAAAACAGGATATTGTAATAGCGGATAATAAATACACATTTGTTATCATAAAATATTTTAGTTTATCGATAACTAAAGTCTTATTTTTATTTATGTTGTAAAAAAAAGGATTGAAATTTTTCAAAAACTATAGAAGGGGGATCCATAGTCTTCTTATTTTCTTATACTGTCCATTGGATTGTCTCATGTCCCTCCCAGCATCCTGTTGTATATTAAAAAATTACCGATAAATCATAAACCTTATTTTCAACATGCATTACATTTTAATTATATTGGAATTCAATGATAAAAAAACGATTTAAAAAAATTGTAACGAGTAAAATTTCAATTACTATATTTTCTTATCAATAAAAATAACATGTTTAATTATATTATTTGTTATACATCATGCCAACTAAAGTTGGTCAATATATAATTTCAATTTATTTTTATATGAATACATGCAAGGAAATAATGTGCATTATGAGTAAACCCCTCCGATTCTCATGGTTCATTGTTTTCTGGTTGAGATAATTACAGAGGGTGATTCGGGAGAAGTTGAATCCAATAGGGGAGGAGAGTCCGGGTATTTTTTTCTCTCAAGCTATTGTTATTATTTATTTATTTTTTGTTATTTTTTAATATCATTACAAATCAAATTATTTTAAACCTTTCTTAAACAATTTCCGCGATAAATTGAAAAAATATTTTAAGCTTTGTAAAATTGTATTTTGTTATTCCAAAAAAACATCGATTGATGCGCAAATGCTGCCTGTAAAATAAGGTTGTTAGATGCAAAATTTAATAAATAATTAACAATTAATTACTAAACTTTGCTAGTTTATCACTGATTAAGGCCTAATTTATTCCTAAAACTCAACAATCTTTTGTTTTATCTCAACATCACTTTTGCGGCTGAATAGTATTTTTTGTATCTTTTATTTTTTTTTATTTATTTATAATTTTAACTGTTTAGAATAACGCCTAAATGTTAACATTTTATTTCAGTAAAAGCATATATATTTTCTAGTCCTTAAATGTGTATATATATATTTTTTTTTCCTAGTTATGGCATATTTTTAACTTTAGTCTGTTTCTTTATTTAAGTTTTAGTCATTCTGATAAATCAAATAATACAACTGAAATGTAAGTTATGATGTATATTAATTTGATGGTGTATATAATGATGCTTTTTAACATAATTGGTATTTCGGGCAGCATTTTGAAGATGTTAATACTGTGTATTATGCTGTTTTCTTATGTCAATACTTGTCTATATGTAGTATAATTAAATATATATATATATAAATGGTGACCATGAAAAACCCAATATTGGGTAGGGTATGTAATACTATTCTCTACTTCTTTATTAACTTATTTTTTATTTATAAATGTATATATAAATTAAAGAATATTTTATTAAATTGACTCTAAAGGTTCATAAATTTACTGCATCATGATAAAAAATATTTCTGTGGGCCTTGAGAGAAGTTGTCAATTTGTACTGGACAAATTAAAAAGTCTACCTTCTTAGTTATATTTGTCCCCTTACATTGGAATATTTCTTTCTTTCTTTATTAATTTAATTACAAAAACATTTTAATTAATTGTCAGATGCAGGATGTTATGAAACCTATTCTTATAAACTAAGGTCTGATGATTAAATTAATGTACAATATTGTTCTTTTTTTTAATTATTTGCCATATGAACAGTTAGTCATATATAGTTGAAAAGATGTTTAAATGTATTATATGAAAGTATATATCATATGTTTAGAGTATGTATATTGAATATACATACAATAAAATATTAATTTTTAATTTTTTGTTTCTTTAAACCTTTTGTTGATTCCTCAGTATAATTTTCCATTTTTATAATGTCAAAGGAGTGGACTCAAATCTATACTTGCATGATAGGTATTTCACTTTAAATCCAATCAGCACCAAGTATTTTAATTTGCTTACCCTACATGGCCAAAAAATGTAAAATTTATACATATATATATATTTTTAAAACTACCTGTTTTGTAATGGGCAATAGAGAATAATTCTGTGGCCATTGAAGATTTATCTGACATATCACTCTTCCTTATTGTTTTTACTTGGTGCGTGATAAAATTGAAAATATATATAGCTAACAGCCTTCGATTTCCCCAGTGGGCGGGGTGGTCGAATGGGCTAACACGTTGTGCACAGCACCACCGTTGCCCGGCAACCTGATATATGACAAATGTGTTATAAAAATACTCACGAGTTCGCGTCCCGGTGCCAAGGTGTCTTTTAAATCCCCGGCCCAGGAAAACCCTGTATAGCCTTAACGGCGAGGAAGGGGAGGACCCACAAAAAAAAAAAAAGAAAATTCCCTAACAAGTAATGAAAAATAATTAAAATCAGGGAAACTTTACTAGGAACCACGGGT